TCACTCCTTTGTAACAACTAAGGCAAAAATGTAATTAATTCAGAAAATCTTTTCAGGACCCCAACTTGATGTTTCGGGACCCCACTTTGGGTCCCAACCCCAACTTTGGGAAACACTGTTCTAAAGCACCTATTAACCTGTAAAGATTGCATCTATATTTATGTGTAGACTCATGCTATGAATGTAGTGTCTAATCCAACACTTGTCAAAGTGGTAAGACAATATAATCTGAAAAAAAAAAGTCTTTATTTGTTCTTTTTGCAGTATGTTACACTCAGTGCTGGAGGGTGGAGAAATCTTAAATCTCCCCCCGGCCTTCTGGCACACATGCCTTACAACCCTTAACATTTGCATTCACCTTGGAAACGTGTCCTTTGTTCACATTGAGTTAATTAAGGTAGAAAGTTGATAAAGAAGGTCCAGAAGAATTCATGAGGGCACGTCATGGTGAAAACTTTACCTAGTCCCCGCTGAGAATTATTAATTCAATTTGAAAGCACAGATGAATATATTTTCTTCTCCCGGCAGAAGTTTTCATATAAATTGATTTTCTTATTATAATATGAGTTTCTCGTTTTACATAGCTTCAGGTTTGTTTTAATAACAACGGCATCAGGAAGGTGAGAGAAGTATCCATCAAAAAATTGAAATGTGTTGACTCTAGCCACATAATGTAAGAATGAATACACTTGTCTTGACAAGTCTGCTGTCAATTAAATAAACTGCTTCAGCCAAACATCTACTACACAATAAAAGATGAACATGCTGACTTTCTTTTTTTTTTCATTAAGTTACAACCGCAGCGATATTTTGGTCAAATTAATAATAAGTAGGCAGACTTTTTTAATCAGCCTGTTCAAAAAAAAAATGAAAGAAGTTCCTCAGTTTTATTTTCAGGATCTGTAGGAGTGGATCAACAGAAAAAGGAACAGCCTTTGTTTGTGGGTGCCCTGTGACCCAAGTGCTTCTCAAAGTAGGTAGGCCGGCTGATTGGAGACAGCTTAGTGTAGTCCAAGACTAGTGTCATGTCACAGTGCAAGTCTTCGTGCACAGCTTAACAAGACCACAGGAATCTATTAGAGCCCAGCAGGCTGTGTCAGAAGGCCATTCAGCAAATCATTTGCCTCAGCTCTCAGTGCCCAGAGGCGAAGGCACGTCTCCACATGAACACAAAGCCGGTGCAGGCAGGTATTTCTGTCAGGTCAGAGGAAAGTGCAGATACCAAAGAGGACTTGGACCTTTTTAAGAGAGAATGAAACACTTATCATAACACACACATTTTTTTTTTCCATTTGCAGAGTTGAAACTGATTGTTAGGTTAATATGCAGTATTTCATCTGTAATAGTTGGAGACCATGAATCCTGTGCTGAATACTCAAAAATGTTAGCTAGAAATCATGAGGAGAACTACAAGTAATTGTTGGCACAAAGTGTGATAAATTGTGTGAAATGTGCTTTAAGTTAAGTAAAGTTTTAAATATTTGCTTAATCTGTTGACTTGGTTGAGTCAACTCCAAACATAAATCAGATGAGAGCAGTTCTATAGTGTGTATTAAAATATTGCATTCTTATTGCATCCAGGTTTTTTTGTAATTATTATTGTGTCCTAATTTTTGAAAGCAACAAAATAAGTGAATAAAATAAGTTTAGTCTGAATTCACACATCATGCTGTTTTCATTGCAGGTGCTGAATCTGGTCCAGTCTTTTGTGACCCTCAGAGTTCCACTGCATATGTCCTATGTGTTTCATTCCCCCGTGGGAGCAGGAGGATGGCAGCACTTTGACTTACAGACAGAGTTGAGACTCACTTTTGTGTACGACACTGCCATCTTATGGAGGGATGGGATCGGTAGTCCGTCAGAGGCTGAACTACAAGGCAGGTTTCAGTGGCGGTTCTGTTGGGTGTTTTTGTGTTTACTGAGTCACCAGATCTGAATGGTCTGTCGCTGTCTTTGCAGGTGCTCTTTACCCAACCAGCATGCGTATAAATACCCAGGGACAACTGGTAGTTAACTTCCGCACAGAGGCTCGATTCAGAGGCCTGTTCGTGTTCGATCACCCAGGTACAGTTTGTCATTTTGAAGTTGTGGAGTCTAGAATAAACATGTATGATTTTGATTTATAGTGTACCATATTAGACTGAAACAAACGCAAAAAAGCAACAGAATTAAATACATGTTAGTTGTTGGGGTCGTGTTATGTTCTGCTTTAAATTTCTTTTTCTTTTTTTTTTTTGCTCTGTTTGTTTTATCAGCCACATTACTCACTTCCATGGTCATGTGTCCGGACCACCCCGGTTTAACCTTTAACCTCAGCCTTGTGAGGAGTGAGCCAACCTACAATCAGCCTATTCAACAGTGGACGTTCAGCTCGGATTTTGCCGTAAGGAAACTTCTATTTTTATCACGAGAAATAGTTGAATTATTTTCTTTTTCTTTTGATTATTTTTTTGTGACTGGTTCCTTCTAAATGCAATTTCTTTTGCCAGGTGCGTGATTATTCAGGCGTCTACACAGTGAAACTGATCCCCTGTACGTCTCCTCCAAACCTGGAGTACAACATCCCTCTGGTCTGCAGTCCCAGAGAGCCGCTCACCTTCGACCTGGATATTCGCTTTCAGCAGGTAAATTTACCTTATTATAAAAATAAATAATATGGTAAAATCAGGTACATGTGTTCTATTACACCCAGTTTGTTTGTTTTTGCATGGCATGCGTTGTATTTGTTTTTGATGGTGAATATGATTTTGAACATTCTTGGCAAATCATTCATTCATAAAGCCCCTGTGAATCTAAAACATGTGACAAAGCCTGACAACCACAGCATCTGTGTCTAATTTATTTAATTTAACAAAGAAAATCTGTTCATACAGGGAGAGGCTGGGGAAAGAACGGAGATGAGCTGCATCTAAATTAGACTAACGGGGCGGGGGTGCGGGGGGCATGCAGGAAGCACAAAGCAGACGTATAAACATCGCTAACAACCGGACAGCGACGGGCTAAAACTAGATGAGCTCTGGGTTCTTTCAAAAATGAAGTTTCTCTTTCAGATTTCTGCTTTCAACTGTATTATACTTGTTCTTGAGCTGATCAAATATTCAATCACCCAAGCATCAAAGACATTCAAGGTCATGACAAAATCCATCCAACCAACCAACAATTATCTGTGGGGCAGCAGCTTGAGCGTGGAGGCTCAGAAATCTCTTTCCTCATCCACCTCTTCACCAGCTGAGTGACATACCGTATTTATTCAAGTATAATACGTAAAATTTAATCCATAAAATCATCCATAAAGTTGGGGGGTAGTATTATACTTGGATAAATATTTTTACTTATGTATTTTAACTGAAATATTGGCTTCATCCAGTCCGGAAATGAAACCGTGTTGTAAAAAGCAGTTGAAACAAGCTTACCTCTGACACTCCTCTGTGCTTCAGAGCGAGATAATAATCCAGGCAGGCGACATGATGTGAAAAAAAGTGTGTGGGGTGGGGGAGTATTCCTGCACCTTAGTAATGATAGCAAATTAATGACATTAGTGTGTAACCGGGCCGCTCCTCGAACAACAACAAACACATGTTCGTCTGTAATGGCGGCCACCTACCGGTGTTCTGAAAAAGTTTGTATCCCAGAAAAACGTTTCCCCACCAGAGGGGGCGCTTGCGAGTAGGAAGTAATCTGCTTTTCCCCCACAAGATGGCCCAAATCTCTTGTGAAGTCTCTGACTTTTGTGTTAGAGCATCCTGGTGGACTATGTGTAAAATGCCAGAATTCATATGATTCTGCTACAGCTGATACTGTATATATTTGTTGTCTAAATACCTTTTAGTACATATGTTGTTAAAATAAAATGAACAGTCCAATGATCATTTTACTGATATGTATAAAGACTGCAAAGGCTGAAAAATCTTGATGTCTGTATGAAATTGGAGGTAGTTTGAGGATTAATTTTTTATGCTTTTTAAGCTCAAAAAAGGGGGGGTCGTATTATACATGAGATCGTATTGTACACAAATAAATACGGTATTCTCTCCAGTGTCTCCTGGCTCTTTCCCAGAGTCTCCTTTCAGGTCGAGTTTGGTGTGATAGTAGCTTAGAATCCCCCTCAACACACTGACTGAGTGCTAGCATAGTTGAAAAACTCTGTGTTACATAAGATCATACAAATGATCTTACAAGGTTTTGACTAAAACGACTTTTCAGCATAAGAGGATTCTCTAGCATGAAGTAAATCTTTCTCACATCTTTGTGTGTTTTTTTTCCTTACTTTGTTAATACCTCCATGTGATTGTAGGTCAGTGATCCAGTGGCTGCTGAGTTCAGTTTAAACACACAGATGATCTTACTCTCCAAACGGACGCTCTGGCTCTCAGACGGTTCCATGGGCTTTGGACAGGAGAGCGACACTGCCTTCTCACAAGGTAAAGTACAACAAAAACACAGCGTTCCAAAAGTAATGGAAATCAAACAGATGTTTTCTTGTTTTTTGCTGCTTAGCTTAGCGCTCTGAATGTCTTTCCCTTATTTTGATCAAAAATAAATCGCTGTGTGCATTTTGTTTTTGTTGACTTAGCAGATCCTTTCTCGTTCATTTTCTATCTCTGTGAAATAAATAGAAAATAAAATAAGGCCTCTGTGAAGTGTCTTTTTTGGCTTCCTTTGCATCATCTTTCTAAGCCAGTAAATTAAGAAAGCAAGAATTCAACATGTTTTAGCAAAGTTTTGAAAAACTTTACAATTTCACGTTTTTCATTCATTAAAAATCTGTTTCTCTTGTATCAGGCGACACTATTTATGGCAGAGTGATGGTGGATCCAGTGCAAAACTTGGGTGACTCCTTTTTTTGCAACATAGAGAAAGTCTTCCTGTGTACAGGAGCTGATGGGTATGTTCCAAAATACAACCCCGGCAACTTTGAGTTTGGCTGTCTGGCTGACGCTCCGTCTCTACTCTACAGATTCAAAATCATTGTAAGTAATAAAGTAATAGTTCTGTGCTTCGGTTCTGTTCAAACCTCTATATTCTTTTTTTCTGTGATTCTGTCACTCCAGGATAAGGCTCAACCGGAGACCCAGGCCCGCTCATTTGGCGATATAAACTTTAATGCTTTCCTGGCAGTGGATGACCCCGGTGCATTACCTTTAGTGAGACAACCTGGAGCAGATGGTTTCAGAATAGATTCTACTGCTTTGTTTCAGGTCAGTAAAAAGGTTAAATATGGTAAGCATATTCAGTGTACGCACTCTTATTATTCACTCATATATCAATAAAATCCTGTGGCCTTTTATGAAGGTTTTATTTGGCTACTTGTAAATCAGATTTGTTCTGTTTTCTGAAACAAGTATGATCATGAAAATCTTCTGCACGAACAGTATGAATATCAATAATTACGATTTGGTAATATTTTTGGAGGTTTTATAAAGTGAAGGTTTTGTTTTTTGTTTTAACAAGGTGGAAAAATAGATTCACTGACCAGCTAGTTTCTATGTCTCAGCAGAAAGTTTGCTGTGAGTGAGTAATCCTGTCTCCATGTTAGCTGGTTTCTAATGGCCTTGGATCACAGAGCATGACTCACAGCTTCAGCCTTTTATCGTGTCCAGATTGCTGCTTCTAGTCACCGAGTGTGTTTTTTGGCTTTAGAGGAAAAAGAATCATTTGGTCCACAGGCAGGAGGTGTCCTTCACTGGTGTGAAAGCTTTTTCTGTTCTTGTACAAAATTGCGTATCGACCGAACACATTTTGTTTAAAATGGGGTTATTTCATTGAGTTTAGTTAGTTTCTATGTAACCAAATAAAAACTTAGCACTTACTTTCTACGTTTATTGAGTTTGCAGCAATATTTTTTTTATCTTTCATCCATCCAAAAAGTACAAAAAGAAAATGAAAATTCAAAAGTCATTTGAAAGCAGAGGGATTTTAGTTGACTTATGTGTTCCCAGTTTAAAATGAACACCTTAATGCCTGCCTGGGTTTGCTCAGCACACTGATGAAAAATGAGCTGGCTTCAGCAGCAAGACAGGACCTAGGGTCTTTCACAGAGGGTTCTCAACCCCAACCACTGATATAAATGGAAGCCTGAGTACAAGTGGTGATATTAAACAGTACGTGTAAACAAACTCATCCCAGTTTGGAGTTTGAATCTACTGCTCCACTGTGACATCTAGTGGTTTTACAAAGGCTTAGAAACAGATAAAATATTCCAGCAATGAATTCTGTGAGATATTCTGTCCAGTTGGTAGCCACCTCTGCCCCCCACCCCCAACATAAACAGACAGACAAACCATTATGGGGTCTTTTGTTCTTGCCAGGTGGCTGCGGGGAGAGAATGGTACATCCATGCCATCTACACCGTCCGTTCCCGGGACAATTCTAATCGTGGCATCGGGAAAAGAAGCCTGGAGTATCATGTGTTGAGCCAGCACTTGAATCCGCTTCAAAAGGGTCAGCTTCGCGCCCGAAGATCAGTCGACGACGTGCCAGACATAGTAACGAAGATCGGTGAGAACAACAACCGTGGCACCAACATCCTGCACATCGCTCTGGACCGCAGCAGTCAGCGGAGGACGAGCCCGGGCGGGGAAGTTTTCACAGAAAAAAACATCCCCAGTGCGGTCAACCGAAAAGACAGCGACAACGTACTGGTGTTAATCATCGGCGTGTTTGTTGGACTGCTCCTCACTGTGCTCCTTATCATTTTAGTGGTGTTACTGGTACGAGCCAAGCAAGGGAAGAAAGAAGTGCCCACTAACTCTAACAGCTCTGAGCCCATGGTGACTCAAGGCCTCGGCAGCACAGACAGTTCTGAGGTCTAACCGACTACTGATTGAGAGATTATCTGATCCTTTTATTTTGCAAGTGCCTCATATTTAGCTGAAATTCAAAAAAGAAAAAAAAAGGACTGTGTGAACTGCTAGAGCCTAGACACTATTCAGAAAAACTACTTGAAATACTGCAGCACTTCCAAAGCCAGGGGGTGATTTGGACCTTAAGCAGGAGATGGACAGTGAGTGTTAGCAGCTGTTACAAGGCACTTGTCAAGCTGTCAGCTCGCACTTTCTGTTATTGATCGGCTTTTGTTGCCAACCGATCCAAAACAAAGGGTGTTGTTTTGTTTCCAAAGGTGCTACAGGAGATTCCTCTTAACTTGAATGGCATTGGCTGTTTTGCTGATTAGGTCGAGAGAAGATGGATAGTTTTTGCTTACTGCTGTAGTTATTAAACAGACTTTGTACATTTAGGCGCACCAAGACACTAATTTGCTTTCACTGAGAAAGTGTATCTCTTTGTCGTCAAGATTTAGTTGTCTTTAGTTTCGGTGTGTGCCTAAGAAGTTCCCAGGATTCTGAGGATTTTTTTTAATTATTATTATTGTAAAATGTTTGTCCTGTGTGATCAGTAAATCGTGTATTCAAATGAAAGAAAAATCATTTGAATGGAAATTGCTGTTTTTTTATGTTTTGCATGCATATAATTATTGTATTCTGAAAAGTTTAAATGATTTGAACTGAATTTGTGGAACTGCGTCTAATCTGCTGTGTTTCAACCAGGCTGCATCTTACTGTATTTCCAAGTATTTATCAGTCGCTTAACTGTTATTGTGACTTTTTCTTCCTAATATCTAGTTGTTAAAACAATGTATGATTTCAAGCTTTTATGATTGACACGTAGCACTAGATCAAATCAGAAGAGAGAAACCATTTTGTAAGAAGATTATTATTGAAGCAACTTTAAAGACAGCTGGTCTGCAGTGTACAGAGTAACATAGTAAAAAGGTTCAAAATCAACTATTTCCCAGAAGAACCATTTTCACACTTGATAAAAGAATTTGTACACTTTGTTTGAGTGTTGACTTGTGCAGCTCTGTAGAGAAAACCATTATAGTAAATTCCTTTCACAGCAATGCTTTTAATTATTTGTAATCACATTTCACATAAAGGGAAAAATGTTTTATTATGTATTTGTGTTATTTTTGTGAGAATTCTCTATAAGATTTTTAGTATTAAAATTAAGTTATTTTTCAGTGCATTGATTTTTTTCATAAATCATTTATGTATTCCTCTCTCCTGTCTTTTTTTACATAACATGGTTATTATATGAATACCATGTTTCTCAAATACTGTGTAAATATTGTAAAACTTTCAACAAGCTTTATGTTTACTTGTGCTTTTTTTCTCATATCAAGGCACAGAATCTGAATACCTCTTCTTGCTATTATAAACACTACGTTTTCTTTTGTCTGTTTTAAATATGTTGGGGTTTTATGCAGTTTTATTTTGAGATTGAAAACAATTCTATGCAACCTGTAATACCTTTATTTCATGTTAGTCAAGTACTTTTGGTTCATGCAACCAGTTAGTCCTGATTTCACTCCATAAAATTTTTTTGTTGATCTTTGATCACATTACAATGCTTTTTTATTCCACTCTAATGCTTTGAGTGCATTCTTAGAGTTTTATGTACATTAATGTATGTATGTACTGTGTATTTTACATAAAAATGTACCATTTGGAGGATTTGGGAAACGGCTGTTGTTAAAAAGGCATACTGCATTTACTGTAAGAATTTGTAACATAGACCTAAAGCACAACCTGGTCTGAAAATAAATACTTTTTCAAAAAAATAAGTTTCAATTTAATCATTTTACAGATTGCATGTGATGCTGAATATGGGCAGTTCTGAGGTCAAAAATACATTCAAGTGTATATTATTGCACATCTGTTATTTTATCAGTTATATTTATTTTAAAAAATTGATTGTTGTACTCTGACTCTGGTGCCACATTATTAATGAAATGATATACTTGAAACCATGATAAGGAAAAGTGGGAAAAAAAACTAAAATTGTTGTATGTGCTGAAATTTCTTTGTACAAGTTTAGCATGTTCTTCATTCTAACGCTTACAAG